TACAGTGACCAAGATTTCCTCTTCAAGCATACATAGACAGAAGTGGGGAAGTGGTTAGGCTGTTCTTCCTTGGGCATCCTAAGGACTTTCTGTGACTGGGTAAAACAATGCTAAATGTTATTTTTTTTAAATCATTTGTAGTACTTCAGTCAATATGCTGAAGTACTTAAAATATTTAAACAGTTTTCCATAGTTATATAAAGGTCTTGATTTTAGACATTGTGAAGATGTTCTAACTTGACTCCCAAGAAACAAGAGTATAATGGTGCTGATTAACAGAGCTGAGGAAAAGGGAGTAGAGAGATGGGATGAGGTTGGTTTATGTGTACTATGTTCTTGTAGTTACACTAGAAAGTTCTGGCATGCCATTGCCCAGTAGGGCCACTATAGACAGCAAAGTTGTATTGTTGCTTAAAGGGGAGTATCTAGATAGTGAGGAACTGTGTGCTAACCTGTAATCTCAGCTACTCAAGGGACTGGGGAAAGGATGATTACAATTTGGGGGCTAGCCTCAGCAACCTAGTGAGAGTCTGTCTCAAAATTTTAAAAAAAAAGGGGGCTTGAGGTTTAACTTAGGATGCCCTAGGAAGCACAACATAGCCTCTTCCCCACTTCTGTCTATGTATGTTTGAAGAGGAAATTTTGGTCACTGTACAGATCTACCAATCTTAGCACATGGTTAGAAATGTGTCTTGTTGCAGGACATTAGTCCCATCCATCTGAGCTTTCAAATAACTTAGCATGGAAGGTGGTTATTATCTAGCCTACACCAAAGAAATGAGATGAAGCAAAAGGAGACAGAAGAGCCCCTCCTCCCCAGGGTTCAATACCCAATACTACTAAAATATATAAAGAAAGAGAGAAAAAGAAAAAGAAAGAAAAAAGTATCTTTAAGAAATGTTTTACCATAAAGAAATGTGAGTGTTCAAGAAGTGAGTTTTACATTGATTTAAACATTATGCAAGTATACACATATGTATACTTGCATAATGTTTAAATATTTTTTTAAATGTTCATAATATTTATGGTGTCACATAAATATGAACATTTTGTATCAGCTTAAAATTAAAAGAAAAAATCAAATGATCACATAAAAAGGAAAATTCTATAACTAAGTTTTTAAAATCTTCAATAAGTAGCTAAGAATGACATTTCTTAGATAAGATTTCAGGATAAGACTATACAACAGGTCTGGGTTGTGGCTCAGTGGTAGAATGCTTGCCTGGCATGTCTGAGGCACTGGGTGTGATTCTCATCACTGTATATAATAAAATAAATAAATAAAATAAAGGTCCATCAACTAAAAAAAAATTTT